CTCATCGATTTGACGATTCTTCTTGTCGATAAATTTGAGTAAACCTTTGCAAACTCAGTGTATCGCATACTGTTGTCACAACTATACAAAATGAAAATGATACCGAAGGTTTGACTGCTATAAATGAACGAAAATCTTTCGTTCAATGGTTGATATCGTTCTGTTGAATCTTTCTTGCCAAAATGACTCAGTCAAACAGCTGCTACACTTAGTCAAGGTAGTTTCACAGGCAGAGACCTTGCTCAAATGCATCGAAGCGTTTCAGGTGCAACGGCGTTTTGGAAGGTGTCCGAATCTGTCGCCAAGGCTATCCAAATCGTCTTCCATTTGACGAATTCATCAACAGATATAAACTTCTCTCATCAGGTGGTCAGTTTGAAGCAGACTCTGAAGGTGCTTCTCAGCTGTGTCGCATTTTGAAACTTGATCCAGCGCGTGCACAAATCGGAACCACTAAAGTGTTCTGTAAAGTTGGAGTTATATCACAGGTTTCTTAAACATTACTTCAACATCAAGCGATTGATCTTCCTACACTTCCAATCACTTACTGTCATTGCAACTTCACTGACTGTTTTCAGCACTTTCATGAGAAACATTGAAAACTTCTTCACGATCTCAGGAAATTCACCAAAAATCGCGCGTTGTATGTTTGTTTGATCAATTGATCAATTTGATCAATGAATATGTCAATTGGTGCGTCATATCGTAATTGATGAAATTTTTTAGCTGGAAAGTCGTCGTCGTGCCCAGCTGAGTGCTATCGTTTGTGGCATTCAAGCAACCATTCGGTGGTACAATGAGCAACTGCGATTTAGCGAAAAACTAAAAGAAAGGTTATTATAATTTTGCAATACATCGATCGCATCGATGCAATTCAGTCAATTAAGTCTCCATCTCATCCAGTTCAACAATATCACTTCAGTAGTACTCATGACTAGAAAACGTATTCATATCTTCGACGTATCTGAATATGAAGGATGAGATTATGTTTTTTTAGAAATATGTAGGATAAGAATGATTTTTAAACTACTAATGTCATATCGATGTAAACTGAATGAAGTGAATCGAAAAACGACATCTAAATTAGCATCTCCTCCATCTACCGCCTGACGAAAACTAAAGGCTTCAGTTGAATGTCATTAGAGATGAATGTATGATCATAAATGACAATCGCCAGGCGGTCGATGATGCCTTTTTTGGTACTAACATTTCTGTTGAGGAAAATATGCTTTACAAATGATTTTAGAAATGCAACACTCACCATACAAAGGAACGTAAGAACATACGTGGAACTATCCACATGGAAGTGGTATCGTTTATACGGTCATATCAAGGAAATGATTCCAATGAATAAGGACCGAGAACGACTTGAAGAACTCGAAAACGAGAACGAACAATTGCTACATGTAGGAAATTTTGTTATTCTGAAAGCCTAAACTACTCTTTGAATGTCTGAGTGAGAATATTTCCTGGGACGATATGGAACGTTATGAAATTGTCATCTAGTAGACAATAATGAAAATTGAAGATGCCATTATAGTCGCTGAAGAAATGACACACCTCGAACGTTATTATGATTGCGTATAAGTTTTCTGATACTTATTGAAACTGAGAATTTTTTCGAAGTTTACAATAATGAAATACCAACATTATGGATCCAGTTACATGGCAAAATTTAATGCCAATGTTCAGTCGACCAATATCCAGCAAATTTCTTACAGGAGATTAGTGACGTGCAAGAGCATTGTGAGGAAGTGCAA